GCAATTTCCTTCATAAACACTGAAGTAGAATACATTTTTTACATCAAAGTTACTCAGCTTGAACAGAACACTACCCAGTACAGATATGAAATCATTTTCGTTCTAAATGTTGTTCCTACAATTACAGAACCAATGGAACTCCAAACTCCTGAGAAAGATAAAACCTCCTTCAACTTTACTGAAGAAAACAAGAATTCTGAAAGTGAAGAAACATCTATACCGTCTGCAAAACGAATTCTCTTCAGAACATCAGCGAAGCCACTAAATCCAATGGTTCCCGATATGGTAGCTAAAAAAAGCAACGCTAACCCCAGCTGTGCAACTCATCAAGTCACAACAAAGAGAAAGTTCGATTAAGTATAGATATATATTTTGTGGACAGTATAAGTGCTACAACTTAGAAGTTTGTTTTGCTCATTTTGCTACTATAACTCCTTAATGAACAACTATGTTCTATTTTGTAGCACATGTCCGTAATTACTTCCATCAAGACCAAGCTCAAATGTAGATGATTTGAAGTTTGAATTTCCCTGTATTTTGGAGTAAACATGTTGGTTTGAAGTTTGAATTTGCCTATATTTTGTAGTAAAAATGTTGGACATGTTTAGCACCAGGGAATGTTAATATTAATGTACCTTTGTAGCTTGAGACTTTGTTCAAATTTTGCTCATCTCTATGCTTATTATCTGTTTGCTGGAGTTGAACTCAGGTATTTGTTTTCCATATTTGGCTTCTGAGTAAGTTCTCATGTTTTAACATCCCAATGATTTGCAGGTACTGCAATGCAAAAAAAATTGAAAATGACAGCAAATATTTTTGTTATCTACAAGGGAAGTGTACCAACCAAATTACATAAACTTTTTACATCATTGTCAAATGAATACGAGTACAGAACCTTTTTTTTTTTCAAAACCAAGACGTTATTCAGTAGCCAACTACACAACAAGCACGTGCATCGCACGTGCATCAAACTAGTTTTTTAAAAAGGGGAGGTAAATTT